CCAGACCAGTCTGTGATTCTATGATGGGTAACTCTGGTGCCAAAAAAAGGAATCCTAACTTAGCAAAACCCCAGTCTTCAGGGCCTGGCCGAGCAGTTTCCGCAGCAGCCTGCTCACAGGAGCACTGGCACGGCCGGACGAGGACGCAGAGTGACGACACGGCCCGGTTCTGCAGGAAGGCGGCAGCCGGGGCGTGACACTGTCAAGACCTTCTGGGTAGCTCCTAACGCGAGCCCAGAAGGGCGTCAGACAGCGATTTCTCCCTCCTCAGACCAAGTTCAGACACAGCGTTACAGAAACAATTCCGAAGCGGGTTCTCACCGTTGCTGTCTACGTGCCCGTTCGGCTGCTGGTTCAGATCTACCCTGACCACCGCTTCTTGCCGGTCGGAGAGAGTCCCCTGGGAAGACAAGTAGCTTGGCACGTCGGGAGGCACAATAGTCTCATCTAGAGCAACAGGAGCAGAGAAGTGTCAGTTCCCAGTAAGACACAAAGGCAGAAGCTTTCAATGGCACGTAAAATTACATTTTCAAGAGGGATTTGGGACCAGATCTAACACTGGTATGTTCTGCAGCTGCAAACTGAACGGCCCGAACACGCCATTCCCCTGGGAAACCCCACTCCTGATTTTTCAAGGCGTAAAGCTGTGAGACAGAGTGCTGATAAAGCCATTCTGAGTGTCTGCACTTGGCATGGTCAGTATAAGGCAGGTGGAGGAGGAACTGTCTCTTCCAAACACGTAAATCCTTCCTGTTCCCGTGAAATTCAGAGCACCTCCTTTGACTCCAGCCCTCTGTCTCCCAAAGTCACGAGTAAAAGACTTTTGGGTCTTGGATTCACTTCAGTAGGCAGGACAGCCCAAGCCCCTTAGCTATCCTTGACTCCCTCCATCTTCTGTCAGGCAGTTTTGGTTTCCCTTGACCCATAAAACCAAGGGAAACTCAGTTATGTAGGCTTGAAGCCCTACATTTTCAGGGCTGGGGAAAAAAAAAGAGGGATGGAAATCCCACTGACACCACAGTGGTCAGATGTCATCCAGGACTTTGCTACCAGCCCGTGACTTCAAAACCCTGCGTCGTCCTGTATCCAAAGCCAAGTGTAAATAGGAAGGATGCAAGTTCCAGCAGGGTGGGGAAGTCTCAGGCTGGGTCTTTGGTGCGAAGGCTGCGTAGCCTTGAGGGCAGGAGAGTTTATTCTCACAGAAACACTTATTTCAGCACCAAATTATCCCCTTTGAATACCAAGAGGAAGCAATAAACACTACTTCTTCCCCCAAAAAGCAAGGGACACCCCTCATCAGCAGGGCTACAACGGCTCTTACAGGCAACATGGAAAAAGTGATTCTGGATTCAAAGTCTAATTTTTCAGGTTTTGGATGCAAAGTCTGAAAATGCAGATTCCCGAGAAGGAAGGCAGGTTCCCAGCATCATGGACATAATCCAGACTGTCTCAAGAGCTGTCATTTACGGTCATGGAAAAATCACAGCAGGAAAGCTGTAACTACTGCCAAGGGGAAAAGACCCTGCTGAAGAGCAAGGCAGGGGGAGAAATCCAGCCTGGAACATGCTTCAGTGGGAAGCGAGAGCTGGGTCCAGCTTTGGGAGCCCAGAGAACCACCGAGACAAGGCGACTGTCGTTACAGCGGGATCGTGTGCCTGCCCGACGTGCCAGCTCGGCCTCGGCGGGAAGCCTGACAGCACCCATGGTTAGAGAAAGGCTCAGCAGGAGAGCAGGGCTACCTGTGTTGGTGACGCTGTATTCCTCGCTCTTCTTCCTGGTTTGGTAGATGATGCAGACCCAGACCAGAGAGGTCAGCACGATGCTACACACCACGGCAATGGTGATGATCCCCACCGTCGTTCGGTCCTTCCTGCAGCCCAGAGACTGTAAGATGCTGACGTGGCTGTGCGCGCGCTCCGTCCCCAGCGTGTTGGACATTTCGCACGTGTATTTCCCGGCATCCTCCAAGACAACGTTCCTGACAATCAGCAGCTGGTTGCCAGAGGTGAAGTGATGCCTCTCCGTCATGACGAGGGGCTGGTCACCCTTCAGCCAGGTAATGCGGGGCCGGGGGCTCCCCGTGGCTTTGCACTGAAGAGCCACAGTCTCGCCCACTGACACCACGTGGTCTTCCAGGGGATGAATCAGAGATGGTGTCTCTGCAGGAGAATAAACACAGGAATTAATTCTTGGGGACGGCATAACAACAGGTTTCTTCACAGCACTGGCAGTAAATGATGTTCCTGCACACTGACACGCAGCCGCGTGCCCGGCAGCCCCGCACCAGCGTGGATCTAACAGGCCTTCCCCGAACCAGCTGGTGGTAGCTTTCCCAACAAGGACACCTCCGAGGACAAGGGGCAGCGGCTGACACACATGAATTATTTCGTGGGGCGAGAGACTGAGTGCAATTTCCTTTTCATGTACTTTTCCCAGCCAACAGCGCGGTCAGAGGAGCTTCCTTGGCACAAAAGGAAACGCGACTTACGTCTCCTTCTCTTAATTAGCAGAGTTATTCTCCGTTAGTTAACTACAGCAATGAAGAGTGAAATAAGACTAACGCAGAGCACTCTATCCCTTTTCGTTATCTGCCAAGGAGCTTGCCCAGCGATCCCTTCCACCCCCAGACCAGTCGCTCTCCTGGGGCACCTTACCCAGCACCGACAGGGTGGCGTTGGCAAGCACAGACCCTGCAGAGTTCTGTGCCGTGCAGCTGTAGACCCCCATGTCTTCTATCTTCACATCCGTAATGAAGAAGACATCGTCGTCGGGCATGACGTGCATGCGGCGCTCCCGGGCCGCCGGGAAGTCGGTGCCGCCGTCCTTCTGCCAGGCGATCTGCGGGGTGGGGTGTCCTTCGGCTGCGCACTCCAGCCGAGCCGTCGTCCCTGTCCGGCTGGTGATGTCGTGGGGAGTTTTTATAAATGAGGGCAACACTGATAAAGAAAAACAAAAAAATGAGCAATTCCGTGGGGAAAACACCATCTCCTGAGCAGTTCTGTTTCCCTTCCTATTAAGAGGAGATTAATACATTAATTACCTGTAGGCGAGAGGGTGGCAACTGCTTTTGCAGGATGTACCTGAACTGCTGGGGACTGACCTTGTGTTTCGACAGCACATACCTCTCTGCCGTGTCCAAGACCCCTCCCCACACTCAGGGTCATTAGAGCTGGGATCAAATCTAATTTTCTGTGATTAACGTGGAAAGAAACCCCATTATCTCTCCTACAGGGAACTTTCAATTACTACAGTCTAGATGATCTGTAAGGTCCCTTCCAACCCTAACCATTCTATGATTCTACAGTCCCTCTTTGTATCCCTCCGTGGTCTCGTTTTCATCTGCCCCATTTCATCGGGCAGAGATGCTACTGAGCAGCCACAGCAGTTAGGAATGTGCTCAGCGCTGGGCTGGATGGCCTCACGCTCCTCACACGGCATCACTCAGCACCCACTGAGACCCAAGCAGCTGGCGTCATGCGGTTAAGAGCTCCTCACCATCAGGAATGGACCCTCAGGAGCAACTGCTGGCCGAAAGCAGGTCCCAGAGAATCATACCAGCTCAGGCTGAGGGAAGGAATGGGAAAGCAGCCTCCTACTCACCATTGACTGTGAGCCGGGCCTTGCTGGAGTAGGTCGAGCCGAAGTGGTTGGTGATGATACACTGGTAACGCCCTTCGTGGGCAAAGGTGACGTGCCGGAGGTGCAGAATGGTGGTGTACTCCATCACCTCACCGTCCTTCGCCCGCACGTGGGCGAAGTTCTCGATCTCGGCATTGTGCAGCACCTCGTTGTCTTTCTTCCAGGCAAACATCATGGGGGAGCTGCTGCTGCTGGCGGCCGAGCAAGTGAAACGGATGTCCTTCCCCAGCACAGCCACCGTTGTCTCCGGCTGGATGATGATCTGGGGCTTGGGGAAATCATCTAGGAGAAAACAGCGGGGATAGTCAGTTCCGGACTAGGAGGGAAGACCAGAGCGAGCAAAGAGATGCAATGAGAAACGAGCAGTGCAGCAGTGAAAGACGTTATTCCACGGCTGCTTTTACACCCACTGCTGCCGACGCCAGGGAAGCAGCTTGCTCTTGCCAGGCACTCTCCCATCGAGACCGGCTCTGCAGTGCCGATGTGCCACGCACAACTCCACCGAGTGGCTGGCTGGGCTAGGACTCTCCTTCCTCTGGTTCCTTCTGCAGTCAGTGCTGAGGTGGTCACTCAGTGACCACAGACACCTACAAGACCCCTAGCGCTCTGCACCAATGCAGCTCAACCTCAGAAAAATACTGTGGTCTAAAGAAAATGTCCTTCCTTGTACAACCTGTGCCTGAAGAGCAATATCCAACACCTCCAGGCCTGCGTTGCGTCCTCCTGCTTCATGCTGAAGGGCTGCGAATGCCACCTCCAGGGATAAACGCTCGGGAGCGAGGTGACCGCAGCACGCACCGTCTTCGCCTGTCACCCGTCTGGGGTGGAAAGTTTTGCATGTTCTCTCTCTGCCCTCCAGACTGTTGGTTTTAGCAAGGTTCCAAGCAGATGCATTAGATTTCTACAAATGGTGTAATTTACTATTTGACTCCAGTTTAATTAAACAGCCAGGCCTCTGGAACCAGGAGTGCTAGTGCCTGGAGGACTTGGCAGGCACCGGAGAAGCAAAGTTGTCTTCGCTTTGTGATGTTGCTGTGGGGATGGAGCCTTCGGGATCTCCTCTTCCAGACGAACACAGCAGCCTCCCAGCCACGCTCAGAGGCCACCTAGGCAGAGCCCTACCCCTCGGATGGAGAGGGACATGGCACAGCAGCTGGAACAAAGCTCCGTGTTCAGTGCAAGTCACGCATTCAACTTAAACAGTGTTTTCAAAAGCTCCTTTTTCCTTCAAACAGCCACGTGCAGCTCCACCCAGGACCCACACCGTCTGGCTCCGCAGCACAGCGCCTGGCTCACCACACCAGGTCTTTCTGTTGCCCAGAAAGCTGGATGCACAGGCAGCATCACTTCGGCCTCCTCTGAGCGTTCACAGTTCTTTGTGAGCGGGGTAGTAGAGGTGTGTGTGGGCTGGGTATTAAGTAAAGCTGCTCTGCAGCCACAGCTCAGGTGCAGCGTTTGGGTGGGAGAAGAGCAGAAAAAATAACCGTAGGAATAAAAAATACTATAATGCAAGTGTTAGTCACCGGTTGGTTCCTGCGTAATGCCTTAGTGGCCCAAAAAGAGAGTGGTGATGGCGAGATTCTCCCCTGCTTTCTTTTTAACCCTTTGTTATTTCCAAGAGAGAGAAAAGATGAGCGAAGAACACAAAGCCACAGAAGCAGCGAAGAACACTGCAGAGTGAAAAAACTTCCAGCTGCAGTCGTGGTAGTATCAAATGGAGAGGAGGGGGGAAGTGTCTGTGCAGCCCCAGCTGGAACTGGAACAAGGATTAGTCCCTTCTGACTTAATACTCAGGGAGCCCTGTAAGGAATACGCTCGACGCAGGCAATGCCGTGCGGTTTCGGTGGGAAATAAATTGTAGCCAGTGACAAATTTTGAAAATGCAGGCTTGGGCTTCCTTTGATCCCGCGGAGCAACAAACCAAAACAGAAACCCTCTCGTAATAACACGCTGGTAGTCAAAGAAAATGTTTCCCAAGGGAGTCCCACCCCTTCATACAACCTCAAAACACAGAGGCAAGACTCACCACACACAAAACTTTCTGGCAGGACGGCAAAAATGCTTTTGCTTTTCAGTGACTCGGGATGGGCGCAGGTGGCCACCACGAAGGGCTGCAGCTCCTTCTCGGCTAACCACGGGGGCAACCATTTCAGCTGGCAGTCGCAGAGGAAGCTGTCGCTGTTCATGTGGCTGCAGGGAAACAAAACCAACAGGAGCCGGCTGTGAGCGCCGCGCGGAGAGGCTGGGAAGCCCACAGCCCTTTCGGGTTAGCCACGTTCCTCCCTCCCCCGCAGCACAGGTGGAAGGGAAAAGCGGAGTGCAGGGCTGTCCTCGAGGCACTAATGATGGTGAACACGTAGCACATTTGACAGCATTTCATTTCCCCGTGGAGCAACCCGCTCCTGTGCCCCAGTGACACTCCCTGGTGCCTTAACCAACTTCCAGAGTGATTCCCGGGAGCCGATGAGCCACCTCAGCCCTGGCTGAAGTGAGGGAAACCAAGGCAGGTCGTCTACACGAGACAACGGAGGCACAAGCCGACGGCACAGCCCGTCCTGCTCCCATTTCTCCCATCTGATCGCCACGCACGCTCCTCCTCTGCCTCTGTGGCTGGAGCATCTGCGGTGGGCGCTGAATTCGGGACTTAAATTACTGAGCACTGAGGGCATGTCAGGTTCTGCTGTAAGACCACTGGTTCCCTCAGTGGCCAAGAGCAGTGGGGTAATGGAGAGGCCGCTGTGTACCTTCTCCACAACCGCACACCAGCATCACCAGGAAAAGAGGGGCAGCTGACACTGTCTTTACTGGTTCACAGGAGCAGTGGAAGAGAGATAACCAAAGGCGTTTGGGTAAACCCAGTACAGACAGTGACTAGTTTGGAAAGCAAAACACAAAACATCTTGTAGTGACTCGGCATCTTCTGTAAAGAGCAGAGCTGTGAAAAGGGGGGAAATAAAGGAGGGAAATAAAAAGGGAGCCTCAGGATTATAGTTTTTTAAAACATCATGGGCTGAATTGTGGCTCAACCTAGCCCTGAGGCTAGTGAAGAACTGCAGGTTTACACCACCAGGGAATTCAGACTTTGGTCCAAGGTCCAAAGAAAACCCAGTCTGATCCCTCAAATCGAACGTGAGGATGCCTCAGAGACTGGGAAATGGCCCCGGACAGAGACGTCCTGCCCTGCAATACTGCACGTTGTGCAAGAGCAGGGTATCGAGAGCACAGCAGGATCCCAACTCCGGATGTGTTGTAGGAAGATGGGAATCTCCTCCCATTTTTCTACCTGACAACTCTAGGAAATCCTGAAGTCTGAAACTAACCAGGAAAGGAGAAAAGAAGGAAATGAACTGGAGAGGGAGGGAATGAGGGAACATAGAGATGTGATTTTCCAAAGTTGTCCACTTTGCTGTCCTAGAAAGACGTGTAGCCCCTAACACACGTGACGGCACAAACACTGCCGCCAGCTGGGACAGCTCAGAGACCCTCAGCATTTCGGTACAAGGCACTCTGCCGCCTTCCCCACGGCATGAACGTTCTTCGCAATACCTGGGATCCCACAAGCTCTCCTCTAAGGAGACCAAGCTTTCACCACAACTTTGTTTCAAGAGCTAGTTCAAAATGTAAGGTGGTCCAACAATCAACAGACATGCAATTTTTATCTTATCCACTCCCCAGTCACTGGTACCAAATGTCACCACTGACATCAACCACCCGATTTTCAAAGTCAGAAGAACCTGCCCAGGTACCAATATGAGTGATTTCCACAGACACTGTTCCACTACTCCAGTGTGTAGCAATGCACTGACAGTGGATTAAATATTTATGGAGCAGAGGAGAAAGGGAGACCAGGCAAGACTGGAAACAGTGTCTGGTAACAGTGCAGAGCCCCAGCCCGGAGCGCAGGCGGCAGCTCTGGTAACACGCCTGTGTTTTTACACCAGAAGGCTGGACGACAAGCAGACCCGGTTCAAACGGTGCTTCTCGCCCAAACGTCAGCACTGTACAGAAACCCTAAATACAGGCACAGCAAAGGAGCAGGTGGGCCACGGGGAATGAAAGCAGTGGCAGCGTGAGGAGAGACGGCAACCAGGACCCGGGCTGGACTTCCTGAGCGGAGATGAATAATTGCACAGATGCGAACCTGCTGGAAGAACCTGTTCCGATGATCTGATTTCACTCACTATTAAATGCAAGATGTTCCCATGACATCTACTCATGTGTAAAAATACCCTGCAGAGGAGGACGGAGGGGAGGAGGAAATAAAGGAGCGGTAATGCAAATAACAGCCCATCGGAAACACCGTGGCTGCTTCTCACGTCCAGGGCAAGAAGGACCCCGGCCTCCTTAGCGGGGTGTACGGGCCAGTTACTCACAGCTGCCGCAGGCTCTTCATCTTGGCGAAAGCGTCAGCTTGGATGGAGCGGATGGCGTTATCCCCCAGGTTCCTGCAGAATACAACCACAGGCGGGGTGAACACACGGGATGCTACAGCTGGGGCAAAGTCTTGCAGTATTTCAGCAGTAACTCCAGTAGCAGATTCGGCAGCCCCTCGTTGAGGCCATATGCACTCGCAGCTCACAGAAGCGGCTGTCCGGAAAACACGTCAACACTGCCTAAGTATTGCTGAGTAATAGTCAACCAACAGGAACGATGGGAATAAACCACTGAGTCGTTCTGGACCCCATCTTCTCACTACACTTCTCAGTCTCAGCTACCTCCATCATCCATAGCTCAGAAATTCCTCAGCCCACTCAATAACCAAAGATAGTCAGGAATGTCGTATCCCAGGCTAGACCTTCAGCAAGCACAAAGAAAGCAAATGCTCGCGCTGAACGGCATCCGAGAAGTTATTTGAAAGTGACTTTGAGAGGATACGGTCATCTTCGAGTCACACTGCAGTGTTTCCATACGGTGTTCGTAAAAGCTCCCCTCGCAGCTACTGCTAACAGAAAAATTCACTTGTCTTCTGAAAAAGGACACTGTCAGGTTTAGGGCTTAACTTCACTACGCAAAGTGTGGGACAGGCAAGCCCGGCTTGCAGAGGAAGCCTCAGGAGAGCACTAATAAGGGAACCTTTATCTGGGAACGTACCCCCCGCCCCCAGTCAGGCAGCCCTAACCCTTCAGCATGCTCTCAATGGTGGTAACGTTTCACACGATCGACAGCCAATAAAACATCCTGAGCCACACCGCATACACTTCAACTTCTCTTAACTCAGAAACGAAGTGACTCATGAATCACTGCTGGAGTCATCAGCCTTGGGACACGGGAAAAAAACTACGCGGCCGCAGCCGAGATTTACTTCTTGCAAATCGCTCCGAGGCGTTTGTGCTGAGCGGGGACACTGCACCGCAAGCAGTCACTGTCAGCACGTGCTGCTGCCAGAGCCCAGACCGAGGAGGAATTTGGGGCGAGGGAGGAGGAGAGAGGGCTCTATCTGAAATAACTTATTTTCATTGCTAACAGCCTGTGAAAGAAGCAACGTGCAACTCAAGGTGACATTTATCCATGAACAAATCAAAAAATTAAGAGCAATGCAGATTGGCCACATGTTCTGTAACTTTGTTCCTGGCACAAAAAAAGGCCAAAGTTGAGGTGGACTTCTAATGAGAAGGAAGCAGGTGGCCCCCACAAATGGACGGGCTTCTCAGTTTACAAAGACGCTATTAAATTGCTAGCAGATCTCTCAAGCAGCTACTTTTGGCAGACCCCCCTTCCCGAACTCCGAGGCATGGTTACTCACAGGTGCTCCAGAGCCTCCAACCCTGAGAACGCTTTCTTGGCCACCGACTTGATCTTGTTTCCAAACAGAGTTCTGCAGTTTCCAAACATCCAGTGCCAGATAAACAGAAAGAAAACGGGGAGAGGGGGGCAGAAAAAGAAGGAACACAATTAGCGTGGCTTTATCTGATATACGTGCTCCGTGTAAGTCCCGGGAAATCTGAACTGCATGGAGATTAAGAGGGATGAAGTACACTAGCTTTCCCGCTCCTGAAATTAAATCCTTTTATCTGCATTCGAATTTAATAGTGATGACAGCACAAAAGGGAATGTGCCATATCACGTAAAAGGGCAGGTTTGCTCCGGTGCTTGGAAACCAGCTTGCTGAGTAAGAGAAGGTCCCCTCTGTTCTCTGCAGGCTGGCTGCGGACAGGATTAAGTGCAGTGACAGTTTAACAAGATTTCAGTCTCTCCTTTTCACTTTTCACTCCTGCCTTCTTCCCAGATAGCGACAGAGCGGTGATTTAACTGCTGCTCGGCCCCAACGGACATCCACGCACAAGGGCTGTTTCGCGGCTGCCCCTGGAGCGACTGCCGACTTCCTTCCTTGGCTTATTATAAATACAACAGCAAAGTCATACCGTGCAATAACTAACAGCCGAGTGGTGATTTCAAGGGGTAAATGGAAGACGAGAACATACAGAGCCGAGGAGCACGCTCGCATCTGCGGCCGAGGAGCTTGCCTCCGCATCGGCGCGGCGCTACGCAACGGCTACGAGCAGGCAAGAGCCAGCGCAGCCCAGGTGCTTTCTGCAGCGTAACTGTGCTCCATAAATACTGACCGGTGGTGACTGGCCAGGGGCAGGGTTCATGCAGAATAAACGGGCTCCTCAACTCTTTAAATAAAACATCAAGCAATGCCATGAATTAGGAAATGCTTTCCATCCCCAGGTTCTCTCTGTCTAAAGTTTATCTTCCAGGTGCATCTTTCATCCCCACCAGCTTCACAGGGTGCCCAGTACAAGTCATCACCAACAGCCCAGGTAAAAATCCAGCACATATGGTGCTGCATTCGATTGAGTTTTCCAAGATTTTTCCTTCAGTATAGGGTGTGGTATACATTTGCACCCAAAAAAGGCCCTAAAACTGTGACAGTCCCACTGCTTGCTACCGGCTGGGGAAAGGAGACCGGGCTACAAGGTGGAGCACATAAGTTTGCAGGAGCTTGTTAGGGGTTTCCAGAGAGCATCCTGCAAACGTCAGGAAAATGTGGCATCATTGGCACCCGGAGAGCCCAGTTCCTGCATGGATGAAAGCACTGGGGGCCACAGTGGGCAGAAAGCCAGAATGGGGCTCATCACACTGTTACGACAGGGAGGGCTGAGACTGTACCACGACCCGTCCTGTTGCCTTCGGTGGGAATTTGGGTTCCTGCCACTGGGCAACACTGACCCCGAGCAGGTCCTTACAGAACCAGTCCCTCTGACAGCGGTGCTGCCAGGGGAGACACCACTCATTCTTCAGTAGACACGAAAGGTGGGTTACTCCAGGCTCCACACAAAAGGTCTGTGGCGCCAGAATCACAAGTCTTACCATTCCAGAGTAAAACACTACCAAAAGCTTCTGTTTCAGGCAAAGCCACCTCCCAGCCTCCATGGTAAGACACACACTCAAAGCCAAGTTAACTCCTAGTTAACTCAGTACAAAACCACAGCTCAGTTTTCAGAGCTGTGGCCCCCTTTGCTAATTGCTTGATTCGAAGCAAGAAGACAGACAGCTGTCCCAGGCACGCCGGTAGCTGATGAAAGGCTCCACACAGCCACAACCTGCTCTATCGACAGCATCATCCTAAATACCTGCAGCGCGCTTTACTGAGCTCCTCACTACAGCACCAAACGGTCCTACTCAGTGCCTGAGAGCGTGCGTGGCTTTCTGCTCCGGTAAAATACCCCCAGAACCAAAGAGTGTCTGCAGTGTACCATCACTTGGTAAAAGGGATGTTGTATTAACGAAGGCTTTGAAAAATCCATTACAATGATTAATGCAGTGATTAATTGACTATATGCAAACTCCGGTCATATGGCTGGATCCACACACACTGATTTCTGGAGCCATGTTCCTAAATGAGGGCATTATGCTGAGCTTGGGTCAGGTAACTGGAGATTTCTATTTATTGTTTACAGTAGACTTTGGACTTTAAAAATTGGAAATACTGATTATACCTGTTTACTTCTCTGTGCAGAGATAAGCAGGACGTCCGGGGATGCCAACACACAATGTTTAGGCGCATACAATTTTATGGCTGCATACCCAAGGAATACATAACCCGCTGGAAGTAACACCATGCCCCAGCAAACTCTAAAATCATTACACCTTTCGACCCTCAACTAACCGCTTCTCCGCTTCCAAAGCGGTTTGAACCCAGCGGCCCCCTTCAAAGGGATGCTGGAACGGGAACGCGGCGGCGTGCGGCTCCAGAGTTAGCCTGCCCAGAAACGCTCCCCCACCGCTGGCAGAGCCCGGCGCGAGCACGCTCTCCCGGCGATTGCGCAAGTGTAATTACACGCTAGGCACGCAATTCATTAGAAAGCAGCATTTTCTCCTCCAGCCAGTTTTGCACCTGCAGGAAGATGTCGGTCATGGAGTGAGCCATCAAAAAACCGGTTGCGTTTAGCAGCTTGAATGATTAGGAAACTTGTTGTTCCCCAGCGATTCCACTGATGCTTTTTATGCTTCAGTGCTTCTCGACTCCCTCTTTCTTGAAGCAACATTTTAATTTAGGCCTGTGCTCTCCATCCTGGAGAGCCTCATATATAATTCAGAGAAGGCTAAAGTGACTGGCCTCCCCACCTCCCAGTTTAACACCTTCATTTCAGCGAACAACCCTCTCTGTGCTAAATCCTTTCAGAGGCTAATCTGTGCCAGATCAAAGGGGAACGGCTTTTAAGGCAATCTCCACAGAGCTGAGGTGATTATTAATTCATTGGAAGGTCTCCTCTGAAGTGCCCATTTATTTTTTGTATGCTAATGCATTTAAAGCTGGTTGAGGGTTTAAATGCATCAGGCCCTAAATCACACAGTGAAATGTTTGCTGTAAAGGCTGATCTTTTATTTTATTTAGGAAAAAATTCCTGCCAGCAAGACTGGTACCTCAGCCTCAGATGAAGTTACAAGTTTGGGACTGTGCTGCCAAGCTAAACCAGACCCGAGCAGATCCCTTTAGAAGTGACCACTCCGAAGCGTCCCCAAAACACCTCGAGAAACACAATAATCTCATACTCTGAGGGTTTTCTAGCCTCACACACTGGCTCACACCAACCGATCCCAGCACTCGTCTGTCCAGCAGCAGGTTTGCTCTGTTAGGTCATCACACCACTCCTGTCTGCCCAAGACCAACCTGATCCACAAGCTCTTCCAGGCTACGGAATTCGCTGCAATTCAGCCCCCCAGACCACGGGCACGTGTCCTTCCCTGCGTTCAACCAGACCCAGAACCGGCCCAAGTCCATGTGCAACAGAAGACAGAGATGAACGACGTGACTAAAGATGCAGGCCCGGCTTCTTTAGGCTTGCGCAAGGTGCTGTTGCATCCTTGGCTCATGGCAGACAGAACCCGACACCTTTCGCAGCAGCTCCTTGTGCCGGATGATAAACATTGGATCAGGCCATGGCTGTTTCACAGGGGGAGCAGAGGATGCTCTGCCCAGAGCTCCAAACACACCGCCCCACAGGCTCCCTTCTACCTCCCGTTCCATGCTGTACCTCCAGGCCTCTGCCTGACCCCCGCAGCTCATCAGGGCTCGTTTCTCCTGGTTGCTGAGTCAATCTTTTTGTAAAAAAACAACCCTGTCCTCCCTTGGCTTTTTCACCTCTCTCGTGTTACCTGCAGCCACATTTCTAACCTATCCCAACCCCTGAGACTGGTGCTTTTGCTCCCATGCCAGTGGCCACGCATTGGTGGGATGCCCTGGAGTGGATGTCCCACTGGGAGAAGCTCGCTCTCCACACTTTCCCTCCACCTTCTCTCCCTTGTCAAAGCAGCATTACAGACGCACAATCCTACAGCCTGCAGATCCTACTGGACAAAGCCTCTGCTCCCACGACCCTTTTAGACACTCACTTGGTTTCACTGCTTCCTTCAGAGAAACCAACAACTTCAACAGCAGCCAAGGACTCTCCCACCCACCACCTCTGCTCCTCTGCCTTTTCTCTAGCCAGTTGTGGACAGATTTCCAGGCTCCACGTGCACAGCGATTCCTACTGGCCTCCTTTCTCTCCCACGCTTCTACCTCCCTGCCCGATTCCCCAGGCTTTAAGTCTGTCTCTGCCTTCAGCCCCACTTTACTCACAGCTACAACTTGGTTCCCCTCTTCTTGGATCCAGTGACTCGCCTCAGCAATAATCAAATGCCCTCTATGCCTGCGACTTCAAAATTTCTCTTCTCCCTCTAAGCATTACCCCGCAAATGCTGCCACAGCTCTTCCCACTCCCCCAGGAGCCTCTAATGAGATCGTGACAATATACCGCCTGCCAGGGCTCATTCCAGCCATCTGCTATCCATCGAGGTACTTTTACTGCACCTCTGGCTGTGCCATCTCAGCATCAGAGACAGCGCGATGGGGGGGTGCTGGGAACTTAAACAAAGGCAAGAGGTAATGATTAGGAAGACTCTTGATTTGTCACAAGCCATCAGAGACTTCTCTGACAGGGCTGATTTATACAGCCGATTTCAAATGGAACACGAACAAGCACAGAGCAATGTGAAAATACTTGTGAAGGCCAAGCAAGCTATAAAAATTTGCAAGGCGCATGCTTGCTTTAGGTTTCTTTTTATCTCTTTAAGAGCCTATGCCCCATGGTGCCTTTTATTGTCGCTGCACATGGAAGCAAGCCCAAAAGATCCCTCTCAGACAGAGTATCCCACAGAAACGAATCCTGTTTCAACCCTCTGTGGTAACAGGAAACGGGGTGTTTTTCTCTTCTGTTTATTGTTGTTTACTGCATCAATCAGTGCTTCACCAAAGAACGCAAGGGGTCTTTTTTGGTTGCTGTTTGCCTTTGGAAGCAAAGAACCGTTGTGCTGAATCTTACAGATGGAAACAAGTTCCTCTCCTCCTTGTCTCTGACCTACAGTACGTGGCAGTGTCTGTTCATCGCTTTAAGGGACGATAATCACCTCATACCTGCTTCGAAACACAAGTGCTCCATAACCACGTCTGCACTCTTGCAGTGGGCCTGCAAAACTACATCATCTCGGGTTTTCTGTTGATTTTTATCTTGTTCCAGAGGAAGGAAAGCTATGTCGGAGAGACCCGCCCCTGCCCAGGCACACAACTGTTTTGCAGAACTCCAAACCCAGGGATACTCACAGTTTGCTTAGGTTTTCTAGGCCTGTAAAGGCTCCGTTGGTGTCTTCTATTGTACCTGAGATGTCGTTGTGGTCCAGTTCCCTAGGGAGAGGACAAGAGAGCTCATAATCAGTGTCTTAGTCCCAGGCTCGTCATTAAATCAAATGGAAGAAAGTTTGAGAATGAAAAGCCATATGAAGAGCTTCCCATTTTCTCCTGAGAGTTATCAGGGAAAGCTGAACCCTGCAGCAAAGCAGCAGTAGTCACTTTTCCTGCACTGACCCATGCAGAGATGATGCATTCCAAGAAGAGTCCTCTCTTTTTCCTAGCTGAAACCCCCTGTTTCCGAGGCAGCAGCAGTAGCAGAGAGTTTTAACAGGTTGGTCTCAGTCCTTATCTAATTCTGTGCATCCAAACAAAAAGAGAAGAAAGGAAGTCTGACTGCATGAAACAGCTGGCCCCAAATGCTACTATTATCAATTAAGGTAACTTTGGCTATTCCAATGTAAACATGTGTTTGTCTATAGCTGTATCTTTGGAAGATGATTTTGTGCATTTTCTATGAAGCTGCATTTTTTTCTGGCAATGAACTTGAAAGCTCCACAAAGGAAAGCACTATCATCACTACACAAGCCTAACTCTCTGGATAACCACTATTAAAAAAAAGAAAACGAGTTAAGAATTCCTTTTTCAGAGTTAGCTTCTTTTGGCTTTCAAATTGACCATCAATTACCAGAGTCAAAGAGGTCTGAAGAAAAACAAGCACACAGAACAAACAACGATCCACAAAAGCTGTTTAAACAGTCTGTTTAAAAATCCTTCCCTCCTAGCTTTAATTCCAGCTAGCAATGAATGCCCAGCCACACAGACAGAAATTTATCATTTCTGATGTTAAGAGAAAAAACTAAATAGGCTTTGTTGCTTTTGTTACACCAGTCTGATTTAAAACCTAGCAAAAACCACCAACAAAGCAAACTAAAGCAGCCAGATACCCACCCCCCCCAACACCCTCGGGTACTCCTTTCGCACCTTCTGAAGATCACTATCAGAACATTTCCAGTTTGAATATACAAGGACTAAAAAAGAAAAATATTTCCAAAACAAAGCCCCCTGCATCTTGCAGCACTGCAGTCACGGGCATCACAGTGTAGTTTCTGGGCTACAAATACACAAAAATTCTGGGCACAAATACACAATAACCCAAAAGAACAGAAATTAAAAGAACCTCACAGTTTCGATATTGGCACGGTTTTGGTTTTCCTCAGCTGAGATCGGGCCAAGACTTTTCCTCTCAATCCCTAAGGTGGCTGGAGTGTGATGGGAGATGGCCACAGGCCACAATCCCTGTTTCTCAGCTGGCTTCAGCGTGAAGACCTGAATCTCACATCCCTGGGGAACCCTGGCCTGTGGACGGCAGGGTGATCCATGAATTCTATGCCAAAGGGATGGATAAAACCCCTACATCCCCGCCGGGTGTGGGTGCACCCAATGCCGTGGTGGCAAAGAGACAAGTCCAGGAGAGATGTTTTGACGTGCTGACATTTTCAGAACTATCTGGATGGGGCAGGAGCAAATACATCCTCCTGGAACTAAGTTTCTACATTTCCCCTACGGTTGCCAAGCCAATGCCCCTTGTTCTGTTTGTTTAAGGGCAAATCCCTTCCCAGACATTTCTCCTCTTCAGCTCCACCACGGGCTACCGGTCTTTGGACCAGCAAACCCTTTCCCATGGCAGGGACAGACGAGTGGGAACAGCTTGTAGAAGCTCTCTGACACACACTTTTATTAATTGACTGCCACACATTGTGTTTTCTTGAAAAAGGAAGAGAAAATGGTATTGCTTGTTCATCCAGAGGCAACTCAAAGGTTTAGTGTTAGAAAAGAGGAATAAAAACCTTTTTAACAAATGAGTGAAAATAGAGAGAGAGGAAAAAAAAGAGTGGGGTATTTTGGCCTAGCTCTCTTTGTATTCCAGCTCCTCTCCCAGCCCCTGTTGCCAATTTCCTATTCTTTCTGGCTGGCTGAGCCTGAATGCTCCCAGCCTTGTTAATCATTGTGCTGCGAGGTCTCCGGGCCTGACCTCTATTTGAATAGCTCCACATTTCAGCAGTTTCACACCCACCAAAGGCTCCCCAACAATAGGCCATAATTAAAGCATGCTCGGGTCTTTTTCACCAGGTGCAGGACCCAATGGGCCTTTCTCTTTATTAAATTAGAGCTTGCTCACACACTCCCTTCTCCTCCTCCCCCCTTGGCCCTAGACATAAAAGAGGCTCCACATTCACTGCAGAGCAAAGAGAACTACCAGCTCCCCTTCCCCTCCATTTTTCTTTGGAAACCTTTAGTTCCGGTCTTGACAGCTGCCTCAGAGACCCTTTCTGAATGCCCAGTGGCTGAAAGACTTTGGCTTAACTTTAAAAAAAAGGGGGAAAAAAGGCAAACAAAACCCAAACTCACTTTCCAGTCACTTTCTTCACTGTGAGCTTCGATAAAGGAAAGAGTAAGATGCAAAAAGTACTGTAAAGAGAGGGGGATTTTTCTGTTCCCATTTCCTTTTAATTACTCCAGCCACAATGGGCTTCTGAAGAGGAATAAAAGTATCAAAGCGTGTTTTTTTTCTTTTGAAGGAAGAATTAAATCAGCCTGAGAACTCAACCAGCCTGGGAGCTCGGACGGGACTATACCACGGACTGCACTGGGGAGCTCTGTGGTGTGCCAGATCAAGGTGCTGAGCCTGCAGCCTCTGGAGCGGAGCAGAGCAGCCCTGCAGGCACAAACCAAGGAGAGAGAGGCAACCCTGCTGCAGGAACGGACAAGTAAAAGACCTGGATTCCCCATCTGCTGATGTTTCTAAGGCAAACTCAGCTGTACCTCAATCTAATATAGCTCTTGCTCCTAACAGTGCAATTCTATAGCCGGCGTGAGGTCAGACTGATCTGTCCAATGGTCTGTTAGTCCTAAAATCTGGAAGTTGCTAGGTTTTAGGTGGCAAACTCCACTCCCGTGTGGCATTTCCATGTATCATGTGGTGTCAGTGACTTTAAAAGTCTCTGCTAAATGTCCACAGCCACAATGCTCAATAGCACAATTAAGAGGATATTCAAATTTCCAGTGCTGTCACTGAAAGGAATCATTCTCTCCTACTCGTGAGTGCAGAATGACCCAACAGAAACTGTCCTTTTCTAAGAACTTCAGCTGAAGTCGATGTGATGGCAAGAGAAATTCTGCTATTAGCTGAAGGACTGGAATCTCAGGGATTTTTGCTCAGCTGGGCTAGACTCAGGATCCTGTCCTATGTTCCTGTAATTTTACTCCGGAGCCCCCTACAACACTGAGCAGTCCGCCATTCTCCTAACTACTCTTAAAAAACACGAGTTCACTGAAGCTGAATAATGGGGTAAACGCAGCAGCTGCTGAAGACAGCCGAGCAAGGTGTAGGGGAGTTTGACGTCGAGGAGACAGGCACCCAAAGCTACTGCAAAGCAGAACAGTTGGACAGAACACAAACTGGAGGGAAGACAGGTTTTAGCAGACAAAAGCTGGGGGCAACTTACAGGACACGTAGGTTTTTGAGTCCCTTGAAGGCACCTTCTGCAATGTGATTGATGGAATTGTGGCTCAGTCGTAGTACGTGCAGTCCCCCAAGGTCTGCCAAGCTTCCCTCATCCAGCCGGGTTAAGTTGTTGTAAGACAGTATTCTGAGGAAAAATAAAAACAGCTCTTGTCAATCCCACCAATATTTTCCAAACTCCTCTGTGCCACCCAGTGCCTGCTTCCCACAACCACCTTACGACAGGCCATGTGCACTGGGTGGATACATAACAGCTGGATTAGGAAATAGGACTGCGGTCTGCAAATATTACCACAAGACACACAAGATTCCCTGCAGTGACAGGACAAGGGGTAACGGGTTTAAACTGAAGGAGGGGAGATTGAGACTGGATATCAGGAAGGAATTCTTCCCATAGAGGTTGGGGAGGCACTGGGACAGGTTGCCCAGAGAAGCTGTGGATGCCCCATCCCTGGGAGTGTCCAAGGCCAGGCTGGATGAGGCTTGGAGCAACCTGGTCTAGTGGAAGGTGTCCCTGCCCATGGCAGAGGGTGGGACTGGATGGGCTTTAAGGTCCTTTCCAACCCAAACCATTCTGTGACTCTAAACCCACGGGGCTGCCTGGATGATCACAGGGGAACAGGAAGCATTTGGTACTTGGTTATAGGGAAGTCTTCCATATGGGCAACAGAGAGGCTCCTCCAGAAGTGAATGAGAGCAAGGTGCAGTATGCATGCTGTCATTGGGGATGGGGAGAAACTATTCTTTCTCCATGGCCTGCACAGCTAGGTTAGGGCCTGGAGCAGCACCCTTCCTCAGTCCCCGATGTAAAGGGAACACCCAGGCATCAGTCCAGGCCGTGGTCTGTCCTCGCTCCCGTTCAGACTCCCTCTGCAGCTCACAGGAAAACACAGTCCCCTCCTCCCCCACGCCCCGAGAGGTGCAGAGCGACGTCAAACAGATGGATTTTGAAGTTCACACGCGCTCTTGGCAGGGTCCAGACTTCTGTATTCGGGAGGTGTCTTATCATTCCGCACTTGTGCGCAGCAAGCCCCGGGCGTCTGGGTGTGGGTGTCTTCAGAGCCTGCTCCACCCCAGTCGAGAGCCAAAAGCATTTCACCACGAGGCAATTGAATGCTTCCTTTCATGCGCAGGAAGGAGGTATCTGTTGTAAAGCAGCCACCTTCCCTCCCGCTCCCCTTTGTCAAGGAGTGTACAGTCTGCTTGAAATCTTCTCCACTTACACGTGACTAATACTGGAGGGTTGTTTTTTTCCTAGTTTTCCATCCATCTCTTCCCCTTGCCTGTATTATCTCTGGTTTTGGAGATTTTTTCCAAGTGTCACTCCTGTTGCAGGAAGATGGTAGGAAGAAAGCAAGGTTTTCTCTCCCAGCCAGAGTGCAGATGAGGCTTCTGAGATTTGCCATCGAGGGCAGGGCATGGGAAGCTACAAGCCACTGTGGACACCCCACACAACAGGCACCCACCTTCTGATGCTGCAGCCAGCTTGGCTTGTCAAACACGGAACCTCCTGAGGTAGCAGCAGGCAGAGTCACTGGTCAGTGATCTTCGGCCTGAAGCATTCCCCTGCTGCAAGTATGGTTCTCCTACCTCTGTATGTCACTGAGTAAGCCCTGCAGGGCTACTGGCAGGTGAGTGCAGCCAGCAACAGCCTCAGCTTTAAGCTGCCTGCACACTGCATACATGGCTGCTATCAGAAGTGGCATTCAGCTACATGCCTACTCACGTTTTCTCAAGCCTAACTCTTTACGAAGGGCAGCTGCATAAGGTTTTCAAAAATACCTTAGTGACTTGGGAACGTAGGTCACTTCAAAAGATGTGAGGGTTTGGGCCGCTGAACTTTTCAAAAAGTGGAGTTACGCAGCTTTGAACAAGCAGTGAAATACTTCATCGTACAGACAACAAGGAAAGAAAAACCTCACTGAGTTCCAAACCTGCAGATTTCTCTTCCCGTTAACGAGTCTGCTTAAAAATGTGCGTGAAAGTCACTGCAAAGCCAAAGCTTAAGTCAAAACAGACGCATACTCTGAAGTACTGAGTGTCACTGACTTGGCAAAGGCGCTGTCTATCTCTCAGCTGTGCGAGTGGGCAGAGAGCAAAAATTCAGCAAAGATTAATGAGTTTGAAGAAGGTATGGGACAACATACTTTCATTCCTAAAGAAGTTGTAGTGTTAGTTATGAAGAACTGGCATCCGGTCAAAATTATGTCCTCACCTGCGATTAAAGAATTTGGCTTTAAAAAAAAAAAAAGTGTTTAAAAGTAATCCTAAACCTGGCTGAGAAAAAAAAAATAGCTCCTTTTGATTCTACACAGAAGAGTTCTTGCCACAACTGGCGAAGGCATGTTCCCCTCCTGTCCTGATATCACCTCAGGATGGAGGGACAGCAGCAGTCTTCAGAGGGCTCTCTCAATAGCTGCAACCACGTGGAAGGTCTGAGGAGCTAACGCACCTGGCAGCACTTCCCTTCGACACCGAAGGGCTCTACTTCCCGCCAACGGGACGGGCCCGTCTGCAAAACCAACGCGTTCCCCTCCTCAGCACTTTGGATCATCGGGGTTGAGGGAAGTCAGCAGGTCTCTGCTGCTTCCCCGACCTTCTCCTCTCTACCCGTGGGAAATCACCACAATGAACAAGTGGAAATGTGCGTCTACACAGCCCTTTTGGGCTGGCGAGAAAATGGGAGAGCAACGTGCCAGCAGGGGTTAACCAGAAACCTGGTGTGCAGCTGGGGCTCCTGCTGCCAGCCAGTTCTGCACCAGGCACATCTAACACACTTGGTTCCCACCGACCAGGCGGTGGGTAAGGAGTGAAAAGACCGACCCGGCAGCCAAGTCATTTACCTCCGATGAAATCCTATGCTCCCACTGTGGATTTTTCCATGATGCTGATGCCGTAGCACCTGACTGGGGAATACAATCAGCCCTTTCTCATACCCGTTACAAGGCCAGAGCTCCCTTTCTTTGTTAGCTTTTACATCAGAACAGAGCCCTGGGGCCACATTTTCTCCCAACAACCGGAGCAGAGACAACTCATCCTTCAGATGACCACCTCCTTCCTTAGCACAGAAAACCAGGGCTCTGGCCACTGCTCTTTCTTGGGTCAAGGACTATGAAATTCATTCTGTGTACAACCAGAGACGGTGTTTTCCAATAACTGAAACCCAGATTTAGCAACAGGGGAGGCGAGCAAGGATCTTTTAATAAGGAACAAAACGTACACATTCAAAGAAGTGCACAGAGGCTGTCTAGATCTATCAGGTGCTTCCTTTCCTCACCCTTCAATTTCAGAGCAGATCTCTCCTACAAGTCCTCTTTGGCTGTGGGAGTTTCAGTTAGGAGTATCTGATGGCTCCCTGCAGCAGCCTTACCCTAAAGGCAACACCTGCAAGAGCTTGCAGTATTTTGCAGAGATGTGTGCTAACACCCACATAATCGCCTTTTTAATCTCGGCTAACGTCGTCTCTGGCCTCACATTCAGGCTCAATCCTGTTTGTCAGGCCAAGCACGTCCCCATGGATCCTACCATCTCACAGCACCGGGCTTTTTCCAAATCTACCCCCTTCTGCAGCAGAGCAAGCACATCCTGCGCCGTGTTTCCGCAGAGGATGGCCTCTAAGCCAGGACAGCTCACTGCTAGCACTTCCTCTTGGCAAGAGATCCCAATCCATACCTGACAAAGGACTCCTAAGCCTTGAGGGTTTGCAGAGACAGGGTCAGCTGGAAAGGACAAGCAGAGTTTTCCCCCCAAAGAGCTTTGACATCAGCTCTGCAGGATGGACATGGGGCTCACCCATTCCATCTGACCCCAGGCTGAAACAAAGCTTCAGCACAGGCACCAGATCTGGGTCCCTGAGTGCAGAAAGCTCCCAGAAGTGTGCTAACAACCGAGTGTAGTGATCTGAATTCGGCTGTTCCAGGGGTCCAACTGTGAGTGCCCTAGGAAGGCAGACTCCCCTTTCTTGGTGCTTCAGATTGAAGCAAACCAGGGATGGAGCACAGTGCTGACTGTGCTCTGTACATGTGGAAGATTTCTCCACTGACACTGCCTTCATCTAGTAAAGTACCACTGGAGGATCTGCATATGAAGGAACTGCAGCTTGCTACAGCACTGTGCCACACAAAAGAGCCCTTTAGGCACAGGCAGTTTCCCAGCAAAATGACAAATTAGGTAAACAATCACATACACATTTACCTAAAATCAAAGATAAAATAGTTCCTTTTGCCCCCCAAAAAATAATCAACATCTGAATGAGTAATTCGGGTTCAACAGAAGCTGGTCAGTGGGCTAGCACATTAATTCTACAGCCAACTTCAAGGTAAGACATATGCCATGTCCACTTCTCTCTGAATCCACATCCCAAAAGACTAGGGACTCACAGCTGGGTAGGCAGATACCGACCATTAGTCTGAGCGCAGGGAGGCCTCTGAAAGCAGGAAGCTGCTCTACCATACTGCTTTTTGGTGGATAGGAGAATCCCTGTCAGTGTTTAACAAGAGATTTCCAAGCACCAAGCAGAATGAATTACAGTTCCACTAACCACACGTGGCAAGTTCTCCAAAGAAAAAAGCGAATCTTTCCACAGTCCCACCGCGGGGATGACAGCTACTTCTGTAAATGCTGGAAGCATCCATGTGTGTCACTTCAAAAAGGCATTAAGGGGTGCCACAGACCCAAAAGACACCCTTTGTGGGGCTGTCCTCAGCAGCAAGGCTTCCTTTCATTTATCAAAGACACTGTATTCACAGCTGGAAATCTCAGGAGAGCGAAGTCAATGTATTTACTTTTAAACAACTGAGCCCTACAGGAAGGGTAAAGTGTAAACAGGAGAAACAAGGAGAACTGCCTTTAAAGGGCCAAATCTCTGCTGGTTAAAAACACGACTGTTCTCTGTAAATACAGAGGATAAAGCAAAGGTTCCTTCAGGCTGTACAGTCATTATATGGCAAGCTGTGCATGTCTTGTAACCAGCTAGCTGAAAAGAGCTGGCAAGCCGCAGATCACAAACTCTCCAGGTCTTTTGGCACTGCATACTTTTAGCGGGTTCTGGTCTTTGTTTCTGGTGCAAACATATTTAAATCAGGTGATATGAAGGTCATAACACCATGAACACCACAGGCATCACTTAGGCGGCTGCAGTTCCTAAATTTCTACAGGTTGACCGAGCAGGAGCTGTAAGCCATGTGATTTTTTCTTGCCAACGTTGCATTAGCCACAACAGAAGCCAACTTACAGCTCATGCAGCTTCTGGCAGAAGCTCCAACCATCGGGGTTGATGCGGGATATGGAGTTGTTACTGAGGTGAAGCTGGTGCAGAGATGAAAGGCCATAGAGCGAGCCACTGTTTACTTCTGTCAGGCTGTTATACTCCAAGTGGCTGTGGAGAAAAATCAGAAGGAATTTTGTCAAATGCTGAAGAATTTCCAACAAGGATTGGGATTTCAGCTATTCCTACACACCCTTCTACATAGCCATGTGGATACATGCATGTGTGGGCACTTCTTGTGCAACCAAAGAATAGAAATTCAAGGACAACACTAAGGAAGTGCCCAGAACGAGGTGTGACTGCAGAGTTATGCTCCACTGCAAGTGAAGTGAGCTCAAAGCATCCCATTCAAGTTTGTATTTTCAGAGTCTCAGTTGTGCGACAGCAGCATCCAGAACATGCTGCCTCAATCACTTGTGACCTTGCAAGCACACTCGGAAGTCAATCGTGTTGGTAGTTTCAAGCATTTCTCTGCGATGACTAGTCAATCTGTTCTCTCGTATGGAAAGAACACATCACTGAGATAGGGCAGCTTGGTTTCTAGGTATCCCAAGAGGCAGAATAATCAGGTCTGCAACACAGAGTTTCCATGTATCAGTCAAAACAAATCTGCAGAAGCCAGATGAGCTTTTATTTAAAGACCAATTGAGATCTCACTGAATGTTCAAATCATCAAACTTTCGAAGGAACGCTGCCACAGCTTGAAACACGGGACTTTTTTTTTTACTGAACACCTGGTAAAGCAGTGAGCTTTAGTAAACTGTGGGCCAATTAAACAGAAGCTGCTGTAGCATGGCTGAGCTCTGTGCATGCAGGGCATAGAAAGAAGCAGGAGGACTGGCACAGGTGCCCACAGGTCTCCCTGGGAGTCCTTGCTAAAATGCAGAGAAGGACACGATAGTCTAAGCTGTTTAAGGGAAAAGAGCCCGTCTCTCCAACTTACAGAACTTGCATCTTGGCTAGACCCCAGAAAGCCCCATCAGTCAATTTGCTTATGTTGTTGCGCTGGAGCTTCAGGACTTCCAAGCTGTCCAGTCCCTGGAATGTCAGGCCTTCAATCAGGCGGATGCGATTCCGGTTCAGCTCCCTAAAATCACCAAGGCCATACAAGTTTATTAAATCCCAGTCCTTTCTCACGAAATCATCTGTGCAGCATACAATGGGGACAGCAATGCCAACAACTCCTCTGTCAATGGTTCCCAGGAGAGCAGAATCGCACCGGAAACTTTCAATCCCAGAGCTAGCCAGGGAAGTCAGCTGGGTGTGATCGCTTAAACAAACTCACCCTGGGACAGACTTTCACTACAGAGAAATAACAGAGACAGTCCGGCAATTCCGCTTCATCCCTCCTCCCTCTGCAATTCTTTTAAGCCATTTATCCTTTTCATTAATTTTCACACGTCATCTTGACACCATGTGAACCACTACAGTTAAACACCAGCATTATTTCCCTTACAACCCCCTTTTTTTTTTTTTTCTTCCTATGGGACTTGTAATGGCCCAGTAAAAATCTAAGTGGGTGCTGTAAGAACTGCAAGCCCAAGAGGAAATTTTGTGGCCAAGTCTGAAAGGAAAGCTTTCAGTTCCCCTGACGAATTTCACATTTTTTCCCCATTATAAGAAACTAATTAAGAATGAGACAAGTTGTTTCCAACAATAAGGCAGTCCTAGTATCTTGTGTACGAAGATCTCCCACTTGGATCACTAGATTTCTTTCTCCTTTTCTCCCTGGGTGGGCAGGGACTCCTAAATTTTGGGAATACCTTGTTTCCGAATAGCAACATGAACATCATCACAGCACACTTTACCAACCCGTCTCAAACAGTCACGGATTTCTAGACACAGACACGCCAGGTGGAAACCCAGTTCCATAAAATCAGTGGAAAACTTCATCAATGCCATGCACTACAGCGGAAGATGGAGCTTTAAAATGGATCCCTTGCTGCACACACAAGGCTGATCTAAGGGTAGTTCCCTAGTCAGTGTTTGTGCTGAAGAAAATGGTGGAGGTTACAACATCAGAACTTGTTTTGGAAAAGATGAGGAGGCTGTAGAAACTTTAAGCTTCCTTTTAACTGCCTAAGAAAAACAATGTTGAACTTGCACTCAAGTTGAGTGTAATTAAAGTCAAGTAAGAAATTAAAAAGTTGCAGGCCGTAAGACTCTTGCCTTACTGCACTTCCTAGGCTGTTAGTAACTACACTTTGCCAGAAAAAGAACTGCACACAAATTCTACAACGCATCAAGCCTGTATAACTTGCAATTCATTCATGTTCATCTACAGGGTTAAACAACCAGCTGCGAGACTGCCTTTAACAGTACCAATTACTCCAACTTTCAGTGAAAACTGTGTCCCTAAACAGACTGAGTTGACCCCGTTTTTATTACAGTTCTGCACATGACGCAGACAAACACAGTGGATTACGAGCTCTCAGTCAATGGACAGGAACTGCCAACTGAGAGGCAACAGATTTAAGATGCATATGCTATCGTGCCACACTGTTCAATCCCAAATTGGCTATAAATCCTGCACGTAGTCAAGCACAAATGCCCACCCATTCCTTAGACACATCTTGGCTTAAGGATTTCTCTCTCAATCAAGAGGTTGCCATTTAGAGGTGTGAGTTCCAACAGCTTTTGTGGACTTTATGTTAAGAGACAGAGGTTGACCTTTTGCCTGTCAAATTTGATGGAAAGACTGCAATGGGCCTCAGGCTGGCCCCGTTTCTCTAACAGCAGCAGAAAGGAGAAAGCTAAATCATTAGTGCCACTATTTTACACATAAAGCATATTTATAGGTGCAGATGTCTGTATGTCCACGCAGGTCCTGCCACACGGACCGCAGGCAGAACAACAACGATGTGTGTGTTAACTGAGTGATATTTTCTCTGCCTGAGTACCACCACGCACTTTAACAGCCTTTGTAACTGCTTTTTTACTGTCACATAAAGATACCTGTGCAGTCTTTAAAAACCAACAGAGCAGCTGAGCTCTGTCACCCGCAACAGAAACATCTTCCAAACCTCTCTTGGCCACAGACACCAGCAGCTTTTAAGGGAATGGATTTGTCTCACGCTGTCAGGTGCACAAGAAGCTGATGTCTGCTGCAGCATCCTTCCCTTCCCACCTGATCAACAGAATGGCTTGCAAAGGCAATGGCTACAAGACAAAAAGGACCTTCTCCCAACGTGTTTTGCTAGGTGCTGGCAGAGGACTACCGCATAATGTATTCCAATTTTTATAGACAGCAGCTGAGGAAGGGTGACATTTGGTGTTTTTATCCTCAGGGACATTTCAACTCCATAAAGTGTGGCTGAGCTTAATTAAAGTGCACATTTCTACTCACAGTTGTGTTAGCCTGGGTAGCCTGAACGCCTTGACAGGAAGCTGAGTGATCCTGTTTTTACTCAGACGAAGTGTTAGAAGGGACCGTGACAGACTATCAAAAGCACCAGGCTCCAGGGTGCTGATTCTGTTGCTCCCCAGGTAGCTGCAATAAATCACAGCAGAAAAATGAACAGTTCGGTCAGAAATCACCTTTTATCAGCATTTGGTTGGTCTCCAGACAGGCTGGTGAAATTACAGAGGTGGCTTCAAATCAGCTGGACTTCTGGCTCCACAAAGAGCACAGTGCCTTTCTCAGAGCCACGTGATGAATGTTCCTAAGAGCTCCTCGATACCCTTCTACTTCACTAGTGGAGTAGGACCTGATGAGATGGTGGTAGCAAGCCACTGCTGAAGGATGCAGCATACCTCTTCCTCTGTTGCAACATTCCCATACAAAACAATTAATAATGATCTGCATTCTTTGCAGGTACATCAGAAACCAGAATGTCAGAGCCCAGAAAACAACCTGACAGCAGGGACAACGTGCTGCCTTCTAACCCTCCTTTGTATATTAAATCCTGACAAATAGCCCCATACTTGTTCATTCCCTCTCCTTTTTTTAAAGCAGGTTTGAGGCCCTTTTCTCTGCTGTGGTAACTCAACAAAAGCTGTTCCCAACAAGAAAAACTCACAGCTCCTTTATGTGAAGTCCCTGCGGAAAGCAGCCGTTTCGGATTTCCGTGATGTCATTGAAACTCAGGTCCAACGTTTCCAGGGTAACATAGGGCTTCAGTTGACTTGCTTCAATGCTGCGGATCCTGTTGTGATGCCTGAAAGAGTCAGGAGGAGAAACAGAGACAGTTTACATCTCTTAAGAAAAAAACCCAGAAAGAGTATCCGCGGCCGCAGCAGGCTCGCAGGCTGGCCCTTGAGTTCCCACACAGATTTACGGTGCTTCTTCAACAGCTGTCCGAGGAGAAATCCACACCAGAGATACCTTCCCTAATCCCCACGCTGTTCCTATGGCTGGAGAGACCAGCTCACAGGTATTTGCAAGCTTCCAGACACTTCTTCTGGTATGGTACGAGACTCTCGTACAGAGCCGTTGACTCCATCAGTTTTTCTTCCAGTAATCTGGGCTCGGTGTCCTACAAGCCTGCACTTCCAGAATGGATTTGTTACATGCAAGGACTGCAGGGTTGGATTTTAATCCCACAGGCAACGTGTGCTGCTGTGTGTTTAAGCAACCTGCCAATGTTTTACACAGAGGACGGGATTTTCAGAGCAGGAAACAGATAAGCAAATATGATCTCAGCAAAGGTTACAAAACATTGTTTTTTCAAGTCCTAAGGATTCTTCTTAAAACTCCCAGCTTTGGACTATGTTACAGTGATTTGTAACACACAAATTCTGTAGGAGGGCTTGCAAACGTTTCCTCATCTTTTGCTACCCTTGTCCCGCTGTGCCATTAGGACAAGGCTGCAGTGCCAGTGCTCTGCCCAAGGATCAGGGTCCACAACGGCCAATGCCACCTGCATTTGCTGCCTTACCAAGGACCAGCCTGAAGGATTCAATCTAATGTTTTCCTTTAGAGAAGGTACTACAAGCTGTCCTTAGGGTTTCCACAGCCATCAAACAGTTAAAAACCTCTAGACCTCATCTGTACTCAACAAGGTCTAACTAAAAAATCCCCTGAGTCCTTTCCTCTGACTCCTTCCTGGCCTGAATCAATAGAGAGACCAGCAACCAATTTAAAAAATACGTTGCACATGAGTCAGAAAAAGTAGAGCACATGCCTGATGTGAATTTAGACCACTCACTGGTATTACTGGCAGGGCTGGGAGCGAGGCACTCCAAACAGAGCCGTTCACCAGACACTTGAGAACTTGCTGAATAATAAGAGATTGCAGAGAGGGTTCAGACAAGCACTGTGTCTTAATCCAGCTACCCACTGAGCAACCAGAAGAGGGGACAGCAGCCAGTGAAAGCTCTACTTGAATGCAAAACAGCTCTCCACAAAGCATCAGCTCTTTAAAACAAAAAACTGAGGGATGAGCCAACCACAGCCTTCCAGACATTGAAGCTGATGGGAGTCAGGGAGCCCATCTTCTCCAGCCTCACCCCCATTTCAGGCTCTCAGACAAGGCACTTTGAAAGAAAATCTCTCCCCAAAAACAAAACACCAAGGGACCTGCTCCTCATACTGTTACCTGCTCCTCTACCTTCCCTGTTTTTAAAGCCAGATTGTTTCACCACATTTGCTAGTGCCTGTAGCAAGAAGGTGGTAAAAACTGCATCCCCAGAACAACCTGCTTTCTGGAGACTCACCTTTTAAACATCCAGCACATGATCCTGGCTTCCACTGGGGAAACATCTGCAGAAACGCTGCTTAATTAATTCAGTGCAGGCTCACAAATCATTAAGGACCAATTTACCCCACTAGAGCAATGTGCTTGCTAATGTGGTGCAAAAAGGCATCAGGAAAATCAAAGTCATTAACTTCTGTCCCTGGTCATTCCAAGTTATACAGGCACACAGGTCTCTGCAACCGCAAACTATAAAAGGCAATGGTGTGGCTACGATCCAAGTACCAAATAATCATCCAAAGCCTGGAAAAAAGACTGAATTTTCCCGTCCATGGTGTACAGCGGAACAGAGATCCAGTGAATGTACACTATAATGACACTATGATACAGGAAAGCTCCCCATACCCAGAATTTTGTGACCTCCATATACTGAACACATAGGCAAGGGGAATTTCTCTTCCCCCAGAACTAGCTTCTTGTGCAACAAGTCGATGAGTACAATCAGCAAGTTCAAAAGATTCAATCTTTTTTCCTTCTCAAAGTAGGAGAGGCTATAAAACATGCGTGTGACCCTGCTCCAGGAATGTACCTCAACACACAGACTCAAGTGAAAGCAAACCCCAAGCATGTTCTCCGTAGTGCCGCTGCAGCAGGGGCTGAGAGTTCAGCTCTGATCTCATCTAGGCTGTGATGGCTGAGATGAATCTGGCCGTAAATTAACAGGAAATGAAGGCTTGTACAAACAAACGCGAGGAATCTATAAATTACCTGACAATCCCTGCGCGGGACAGCTAAGTCTGCGAGGGACTGAGAGCACAGAGTGAGTCTGGACACGAAGTGCTCTTCAGAAGCCAACACTATTTTTCTGGAGTACTGATATTTCTGTGCTTTAGATGCTCAACGTATATCCAATCTGCCCGCCTGCCAGATCTCCCGGTCCATCCCAGAAGACATATTTTAAGAAGGGAAGAAAAGGACAGGAAAGAACTTTTTTTTTGAGCCATGTTCACGGTTTCCAGGTGACTTCTGTCTGTTTGCCTCTTACTTTTCATGTGCTACAGAGCTGGCAGATTAGATGGATGCATTATTTCACTCAGGAAAAAAACAGGCTCCCTTCTCTCCCGCTCTCTGCCTCCTTCAAACATGGGCTGACTCCAAATGTAACTCTCTGCTCCAAACACCATCCCCGGCCAGTCCCAGCTGGGGAATGTCAGACAGTTTGCTGCAAAGCACTGCACCCTCTCAAAGCACTGCACTTCAAACAAAACCAGCCCGGCTGACTTTTCCTATACACAGCATGTGATATGAATGCAGCATCGTCCAACCCTTGTGCAAGCTTGATTACATTTAATTTTGCGTTCTTTCAGAAAGGGCTGAAATGTGATTTAACCCTTCCTGGTATTACTTTCAGCTCGCCTGCCTTTGTTCCCAATCTCACGGAAGGGTGTTTTACAGAAAGAGAGACCAGTGACATCATGACTTTGCCTCTCCTCTTTAGCAGTGACTGGAAAAGGGCTGGATTTTTCCCAACTAGCTCCTTTGTTTACACTTCCTTGGCTTCAAAGGTGACAGATCAGATTTTAGTACCAACTGCTGAAACCAGGCTTTAAAGCACAAGTTTTCAGTGCTTCCACAACCAATTTGCCTCCAGGAATCTTTTCCTTTCCCTTCTCCTTAGGTATCACAGACTGGAAGCAGCTTTCCCTGTCTCGCTTCAGCCAGTGTTACCTCAAGAGTATACGATGACAGGGCTTCAACGTGAGATTGAGCAATTAGAGCCTGGAGCGGGAGCCAAGTCTCTTAGTTTCTATTCCCAGCTCTGGCACTGACTCATCTGCCTTGGGCAAGTTTCTTAACCCCTCTCTACCTCTGTTCTACTCATCTGTATGGGAATGTACTACCGGACTGAGATGCTGCAGGACTGCCTTCAGCGAGGACTAAGGATTTGGAGCAAAAGCAGCTCAAGTGAAAAAGAAATCATAGGAACTTGAGCCCATCCAAGTCTGTTTGGGTTTCCTCATGAATATGGGAGGATTTGGCTAAACCAGTTGAACATCCCAGCTCCTACCCAACCTCATTCCTGGAGACACCTCATTTGCAGGTAACGCAGATCTTGAGCTGTAACATCTTAGTGCCAAACGAAGGTAACTCAAAGTTACTCTCAGGTAGTTTCACACTGTGAGATGCATACAGATGGCACTTGTTCAGGAACTGCTTTGCTTCGCCCTTGGGTCAGCACCAGCTACGGCTGCAAACAGAGAGAGAAGAGCAAAGGGAAGCCACCTCGCAGCCACCCCGGCTTAACCAGCCTGCATCCGGGTCAACACCCCCAGGTAGCACAGCCTCTTTGCCCTTGCACTTTGCACCGCTCCTGAATAGACCCCTCGGGATTAGAGACCATTTGGATTAACCTCAGCCAGCTCTTTGCTGAACCCAGCGTCTGAGGACCACGTTAGGAAGCGAGCGCGTGCTCCGGGCTGCTGCGAGACAGAAAAACAAGCGAAATGTTCCAGCGAAGCCAAAGCATGTTTGGGTTTGCTCTGAGTAGGGAGGGAGCCGAAGGGGGTGGCAGGAAAACAACAGGTGGCACAAAGTCAAGAGCTTGCAGCATTTCCAGGAATCTCTGCTTGTATTTTAGAGGTGAAGTTACACTTTAATCCCTGTGGGTTTCCTTGTTCGAAGCGTCTTTGTGAATATTTATTTGATAAACAGGCTGCGAAACATTTTCCACTAGACCTAATAGAAGAAGAATTCACCTTCCCCTTCGCAGCAAGCCTATCCTTTGGAGAACGCTAATCAGTTTAATTCAGACCCTGGCTTCAAACTACTCGTGTGAAATCGATGCAGAGCGCGGCGCGAACACCCTCCTTTGTTGTTCGAGCCACGTTCACCTCCCCTCCGCAGCTGCCCCGTAGAAAGCGGACAGCGGAAAATCAAAGCAGGCAGACCCTCGGATGGGAACGTACCAGGGGTTTTGGTTGGACCGATTTAAATGCAATCAGCACAAAACCTTCTGGTTTAAGACACAGCTTAAATTAAGGCTGCCTTGGCTGCTGGGAGTCTGCAGAGCAAATGTTTGGTGTGAAGTGAGGGGAAAGGCAGGGAGAAGTCACATGCTTGGCCTTCATGTAGTGTCAGCTTTCAGAGCTGGCTGGGCGCCGGAAAAAAAGAGGCAAGCTGTAATACTGCAAACCTATTAACCCAGCACCTGTTATAGGCATCAAAAATAAAATCAAGCTTCAAAAGAGAGGCTCTGCACCTCCGGTAGGGTTCTATTAATATGCCAGCACACTTTCAAAATTAGCATACGAGGGAGATCACAGGACTAGAAACAGAGAGATTAAAAAGTTCAGGGTTTGGTTAATATTTCCATACTGGGAAAGTATTGGAAAAACCAAATGCTGGAGCCAGAAAGAGTTATGGGCTTTTGCTGCTGAAGGACAGGCAAGGTTTGGTGTCCGAGAAACAGAGCGAGATCAAAGGCACTGGCACAGCAGATGGATCACATACACTGTGACTAACTT